GTTAAAAAAAATACCATCTTGTATTTGACATAACATTTCAGTTGCCAAAATAGTTTAACACACATGCAGCCCTGTTAATGTTTAACTGTCTAATCAAAACAGAACTTAATGCATATCAACCCTTAAAGTATACTAGTACAAAAAACTAGTTCTAACTGTTAAATTCATTTAAATTAACATATGTACCATCTTTAAACAAAGATTAGTCGAGTAGAGGTCTACGAACTCTAAGTTCTTGTAAAGTGGTTCATGTTTATACATTAAAAGGCCATTTTAATTTAGTGTAGATACAGGAAATTTCTTTATAAAAGTCTTGAAGTAACAAACATTTTAATGCCATTTGCCATTTCATTGGCTACAGTTAAGAAAACCTTTCCATTTACCACTCAGGGGAAGTTGACATGATAAGCAGGAGTTCCTGTGGAGTCTGCGTGTGCTTAGAGTGTGTGTTTAAAGTAAATCTCTATGATCAGTTTGCAAACGTGATAAATATTAAGCTAAGACTCTGGCAGTGGTGAGCGACATGACAAAAATCTTGTGTTGCTTTTTGAAATCGCTTGTGTGAAGTGTTTTTGAAGCTGTTCTAAAATGAGCAGATGGCCAACACATGCAAAAGGTTACGGATGCCATTTCTGTGCTTTGTTTCCCTCTCCAACCTATTTCTACTTATGCGGGGGGGGAAAAGCTCTTTTCACAGTAGCCGGCATTTGCACCTACATTTGGGCTGTGCTATGTGAAGCTCCTGCTAGGTATGAAATAATGATGGCACAATATGTGTGTTGAAGCTCCACGGGGGCATATGTTGAGTCAGGCGGCCAGGGAGAGATCACCTGTCCGGCCGGAGGGGTCGGCAGGCCGTCTGGAGCCTGATAATGATAAACCTCCAACATACTGGCTGTCAGCTCATGGCAGGTCTTCTTTGAGCAGAAGATCCACGCAGGCAGCCGCGATCGCTTCTGCTCCACGTCTGAACCCATACTGACCCACTACCCGCACTGATGGATGGCCCTCTGAGCCAATCGCGTGGGGCTCTGGGAGCCTGGGCTGAACCGATGGGGGTGGAGCTGCAGCAGACCCGGGTCGAGTCACCTTGCCAGCAGCGCTCTGCGTTGCACTTTAATGAAGGCAGAGGGGAACATTGGCTGGAGGTGTTTGTATGTAATCATGTCACATTTCCAAAGAGGCATGAGCAGAAGAGGCAGCAGATCGCCTCTGACTTCTCCAGCAGATGTTTGGAAATGGTGCTAATGTAGTGGATTATGTCTGTGGGTGAGCAAGCAGTGAGAAGCTCTGATACTAATGAGAACTGAGTTAACTTTGGTGAAATGTGCTTTTGATTTCCTGCACAAAGAAATGCACGAGGTAAGCAGTGGTGGTGCTTCACTTTGCTGTTTCTCTGTAGTCTGTTACGTCTGGGGTTTTTTACTCATATCACACATGCCTGCTTTGTAGAAGTGTGCTTAATTTCCTACATGATAAACAATAAAGTATGCTCCAACACAACAACACATATGCAAGCAGACAGGTATAAAACGACTGAAGAGACCAAATGTGTTATGTGCTCTCCTTTAGCTTTTAGTCTTTTTTTAGTGTTACTTTCTTTCTTGTATCTAGTATTCATCTATTAGTATCTGTTAGTTGTCCCTGTTTTATTCACTTCCTGTTTTTTCCCTTCTGTGTGCTCATTAGTGGATGATTTTCTCCACCTGTGTCTTGTTTCATAAGCCCTCTGAGTAAATACCCCTTTGTCTTCTGCTTGTCTTCTAGCGTCTCTCCTCTTTGCCCAGTTTCAAGGTCTGTGCTTTTTATTGTTTTATACTGAGCTTTTAGTAATCAGCGCTCCATAAAAGGCACTTTTTGCCCCGTTCTTGTTCCTTCTACCTCCGAACTGATCTTGACGCGCCATAAGAGGAAAGATTGTGACCTGAATGTCTTCCATGTTTGATAATCCAGGTAAGGAAATCAGAGTTGATTCCGTTCAAAGATCCAACAACCATTATTTGCAAAATGAAAACCATTATTGTGGATATGATTTGAAGTTAACAACTGAAAAGTGTTTACTGATGTCACAGATGCACCATTATTTTCCCGCAGACTTTTAGTGGGGTTTCCCCGGCTGGCCATTAGAAAGCTTCAGTTTGCAGATGTCAGAGCTCACATGGAGAAACTAAAAATAATCCCAGTTGACCAGTCAAAGGTTTTGTTGACTCCATTTGGTGTTAGTAATCGCCTGGAGTTGCACATTAAGTGCGTTATTGTGATACCTTCTGCATTTTACATTTCAACAGAAGTAGCTCTCTCTTATTTTGAATGGATCAAAATAGAAACTGTATGTGTATGAATGCAGGGAGCTCAAGAAAAATATGGTTATAGCACAGTGAAGCGTTATCCTGCAGAGAGGTGTGTTGGCTGGATCTCACTCCTAGTGCGTTACAATCAACGTTTTATGGCAGTTTAACTGAATAAAACTTTGATGTGTCAGAAAAAGGTGGTTTAAACTTAGCGACCTGCAGTAGATTCAAAGTGTGAAGATGAAGCCTTCACAGTTTGGGACCTCTGTGGGGTACAGGCCATCCAAGACGTTTATGCTCCAAGCTCAGTGAAAAAATGTTTTGGGTCCAAAAGAGAAAAACCAAGGATTAACCTTCCGGTAGCTAAAACCAGCTTTTTGTACAGGCTACAGTATTAACAAGAGATTTCCAAAAATACCATCTGACTTCTTTAAGTGCATGTGTCTGGATCCTTTGTTGCTTACAAGAAGCCATTAGTTATGGTATTAAACACATGTATGTATTGTACATGTCATTAAAAGGGGCTGCAAAAATACCCATGAGCATCTCATCAAAACTAATATTAAATTTAAAAACACTGGTCTAAAACCCGGGCGAAAAATCTGACATTGGTGTTTAAATAGTAGAGTTTTGCTGATGTTCTGTTTCTCCATTCTTCTCCCCCTGGAGATGAGGTCTGCTCGGAGCTCCCACTCCCAGCAGGCCCTAATCTAGGCCAGACTGCGGAAGGAGGGCAGATCTGAAACGCTGTTTACAACCTCAGCTGCTGCACTCGCTGGGCCGAACAAACACAGGCCTCCCACATGCCCGGTGCCACTTTTCTCCGTGGCTGGCATCGTTTAACATTACGATATTTTCCCGGTGTTTGCCCACGGATGATGAGGCTCTCATTGCTATGCATGTGCCAGATGAATCATAAACCTATACCATATGCCATCGCAATTTGCTGATGGGCCCAAGCTGTTTTGGTGGATATAAAATCCAGGGATTATGGAGGCTTGATCCTCAGTGAATGAGGGGAGAAAAGGACAGGGAGATGGTGAGAGTGAAGGGGAGAAAGGTGGAGGCTGGTGCTCGCTCCCCGCTTTCCTATTGGTCCACTGCAGAAAAGGTAGTAGGCAGGGCTGCTGATTGATACCTCTCAAACTGTGTAATTTAGCAAAGTCTGCGAGGTATTAGCTAAACCTCGCGGTTTGTAAATGCAAACAAACAATTTCATGTGCACACAGACAACAACATGTTTGTCACCTTGTCCCCAGTGTCATATGGTGGTAATTGAAGTAGCTGTCAAAAACAAAGGGACAAAAGCCATCAGGGAATTACTGTTGTTGTCATTCTCCTCCCAGAAAGTGAGAGTATTACATGTGCGTCTATCATCCTCTTTGTTAGCACTAAAGCTCATATTTTAGAAAGAAAAAAACTGTTTGTTGACAGAAGGTGAGGTATTCCACTCTGCAGCAAGATGAGTTTGATTGTTAACCAAAAACAGGAGTTAAGAGCTTAGTTTGCATCAGTGAGAGTGGATGTTTTTGTTTTTCCTCCCGCAGTACCTGAACACCTTTCTCTAAAGTATCTCGTTCCAAGCTGAGGGGGTTCCCGTGCACTGCTATAGCAACATAACATCTCCAGCATTAGAAATATGGAGCAGGTGCTCAGTGTATACAGTAAATAAAAGCATAACAGTGTTTTACATTCAAATCTAATATTTTACTTTTTTATTTCATTCCTCTTTCTATGGTTTTCATATAATATCAGCCACAAGTCTAGTCTGAGAACGTAAAAACACATTAAGGACAAAAGCAGTTGTCTTCTTATTGGACTATGACATTTCATTATGTGTTTCCCTGATTGTGTTTTTAAATGAATTAGTTTAATCTGGAAATGTTGAGATTTAGAGAAGTGGACTAACAGTTAACTGTAAATCTGGATTATATTAATGAAAGTAGGATACGGGTACACAAGAAGAAGGGAGGATGAGTGGTGCTGTTTTCACTTTGTTTCATGGTGATAAAACCCAACAAAGATATTTGGAGTACCGTGGCACGTGTAAATTTGTCTCTGTTCATCTGTTGACAGATTTTGTTTACTTGATATTAGCACAACTATGTGTGCAATGATTAAATCTTGCAGGTGTGCAGTTAAAATAAGAAAATTATGGTCATTTCTAAAGATGGGTTTGATATTTCATAAAGGGTACTAAAAGTATTGTGGGAAAATAGTCATATGGCCTTTTTTGTTTTCTATGTGCAACCCCCCAAGATGGTCTTTACAGTAAATTTACCAGCATATATACGGAGAGAAGATTAGTATTTAGTGTTTGAAAAAACTTCATCGGATATAGAAATGCTTTATCAGTCGTTCACAAGATGATTTTTCATTTCTTACTGCAACACTTAAAATATTGAATTCATTTTTGTAACAGTTTAGTAATTTATGGTACAGAAACTTTTTTACTCCAGTACATTAGTGGGTGGCAGTGGTTTGCACCATCACCTAACAACAAAGAAGATGGCAGATTTGAACCTGTCGATCGGCCTCTGCCTTTCTGTTTTGTGTTTTTTTTTTTTTCCCTTCGCTTAAGTTGGTTTTATACAGGTGCTCCAGCTCCCACAGAACAAAAACCAGTTGCTCGTTAGTTCAATTGGCTGTAAGTGTGAATGTGAATTTGAGTTTCACCCGAATCAATCACACAGGCTAATTCGTAAGAAAATTTTAAATGACACGAGCACTGTCACTATAAATAAAATGAGTAAACCAGATCTACTTGTCATATTTAATCTCTTTTTGCATATAAGAGATATCCTGTGTTAGTGAAAGTCAGACACATCCGGTGTGTTCCTCTGCCACTGTTGTGTACATCCTGAATACTTTGTTAAACTGTACAGTGATGTTGCAGCTTGCACATATTGCAAACAAATTAATACTTCAATCAGAAGGCAAGAGCCGGCCTACTCTAGAGTGGTTTCTCACCCCGGTGTGAAAGGTCAAAAAACAAACCGATAAACAAGTAAAGAGGCTTAACTCATTTCCAGGTTTTGATTAATATCAATATTTGGCTTACAGACAAAGAATTCATGTCACGCTACAGACAGTGGAGGAAGAGGATTATGTCTCACAGCAACATTCGAGCAGTTTTAATAGGAAAAAAAAAAGAAAACGGTACGATCCAACTTTCTATTTAACTTTACTGCACTTTTAAAGGTCACCTGAACTTAAACCTTTGGTACCTTCAGAGGTTTAATGTATCATTTCTTAAGTAATTGCACAATAGACTCGGGAGCACCAGCAGAGAGAGACCGCACTAACCACCATAACTCAAACTAACAGCATGTATAAGCGATTACCTCTTACTTTTTAATTGAGTGGGTTCAGAGAAGCTCTAACTTCCAAGTTTTACGAGTCAGGGGTCTTTTAACGCCTCGGCCACAGTAATTTGATAATCATTTTCATTTGGTAGAATGCTGGCGATCAATCTGATGGATGACTTCATCAATCCTTGTAACGGAGTCGTATAGGCCACAGAGTCTGAGTGTAAGTCGAGAGGCCATGAATCGTCCCTTTATGAATCACATCCCAACTAAAACTTGATTAGTGAGCTATTGCAGCAGGGAAATACAGCCGCACTTGATATTCATTAAGATAAGGCGTTACTGCCAGCGTTACATGGTTTGTGACAATAAATTTCCCATTTGCATGAAAATGGGCTCCGAAATTTAAATGGCAAAAATACAGTCTAGCTCATTGTGGCACCGTTTGGCAGTGAGGAGTGGAATAATTTATTCATGAGGTTGGCAGGATGTTGTGTGCTACCATCTGAAGTGTGTGGTGAAGAGTGCTGATACTTTGTTGATCTTTCCTAAGTGAATTTTACTTTGTTTTTTTGCAGCATGTATTATTTATTTTTTTAGCATGTATGGTGGAATCCATGTAATTCCAGGATTTTTCCTCCAAATCCACCAAAAGCACCTCAGATCAACACGGTGAAGTCAAACAACATGACGGCTGACCAACGGACTGAGTCGAAAACAAGTCACATCGCTGATCCCAGTTTGATTATGTACATGTGTATATAATAATTCCATACCTACGTTGGCCTGCCTTTGTTTTGTTTCAGCCTAAAGTCTTCAAACAATTGGTGAATAAATCATATTTTTTTCCATCCTATTAATAACTGAGATTATCCTCCTGATTATCCTGTTTTGCACTCCAGCCTCAGCAGACCAGATCAGGTCGAAATAGTTACTGCGGACTTTGATAGACATCTGTGTAAAGGTAAACACAACAATAGGGTGGGTTTTTGTTTTGTTTTTTTGGGGGGGGGGGGTTTGGGGGGGGGGGGGGGGGGGGGGCACTTTGGTGTTTTGGCCACTCAGCTCAAAAGCACAGATTATAATAGGAAAGATAAGACGAGGAAAGAAAATATTAAAGGGAGAAAACAACTTTCGATTTTAATTTTCTTCCCTTTCTGTTGCTTTCAAATTTTTTTTGGAAAAATTATTCATCCACACCGATCATTATTGAAATTCATTTTAGCCTCATATTTGGTCAAAAGGTGATTCAATTCTCAATGTAATTGTATTTATATAGCACCCAATCTCTCTCTCTCTCTCTCTCTCTCTCTCTCTCACACACACACACACACCACCCCTTGTCCTGTATGTTAACAAATATTAACGATTACATTTAATAACAAAGCCTAACTTTAGGGGTAAAAATAGAAACAAACCTATTTCGTGACATATAAAAAAAAGATGTTGACTCACAATCAAATCTAAAAATAATACTTTCATGAAAAAATAAATGTTTTGACTGTTTTTTAAGTTTTTACTGATGTTCATGACACTTGGAGGCACCATAGAGCCCATAGGTTGCTTCCTCTTTATCCCCTATTAAATTTCACCTTTATAGTTGTTTTTGGTATAGCCCCCCCAAAATTGTGAAATTTATAAAAAGCAATGGTTTTAGTTCATAAAAACATTAAGTGAGACACAAATATCACTAAACCAACACCATGTGAGTTGCTGACACTGCAGCAGGTTTGGTTAAATGGCAGGCTTTTCACCCTGTGAGAGAGAACGTGTGCACTAATCATCAATCAAAATATGTATCATAAAACAGAGCCATTATTTCGTCATCTATCCATCCATGATGGTCTCCACGACAGCCCAGGTCATGGAGGCAGCAGTCTAAGCAGAGATGGCCACACCTCCCTTGCTGCAGCCACCTTCTCCAGCTTCTCCAGCTGTTCTGACAGCACAATGACTCATTTCCAAGCAACCAAGAAGCTTTATCTCTGCAGCATGTCCCAGGTCATGCCTGGGGTTTTCTTTATATTGGATATGCTAAAACACCTCACCTACCAGGTGTCCAGGAGGCGTCCTGGTAAGATGCCTAAACTACCTGAACTGGCTTATTTCAATGTGGAGGAGTAACAGCTCTACAGGAACATAGTCTGACCAGTAAATTGACAGAACTCCTCCTTGAACTCTCATCCACCGTTTTCAGCTTCTTTAGTCTTGGCCACAAATTCCCGAGTGCAAGTTGGAGGTCGTTGCTAGATGAAGGCAAACTGAGAAACATTTCGTTATCATAAACAAACATGTAACACAGGATAAAATGTCATATATGCAGATTGTATCAGAACTATTTATCAGCTTTTTTCAAGTAATTGTTTAAACATTTACCTATTAAGTTACTACTTATTAATAACTCAAATAACTGCCACAGTGTAGCAGATGATGGACAGAGTATGGCTGTGGAAATACCTCAAAATACATACTGTCCCTAAAATCAGAATCACATTTACATTTTTGTTTGTGTAATTACTGTAAATGTGTTTGCAGTTTGTTTCTCATTCACACTCACTCACACACCAAAGGTGGCAGAGCTGCCATGCGAGGCGCCTTCGGCATGTGTCTGTGCCAGGGATCAGATAATAGACGACCCGCTTTGCCATCTGAGTCACCGCCACCCAGGCAATATTTTAACAACCAAGAATTTAGTGGAGTTAATGAAAGAGCTTTAGAGACTGCTGTTTCTGTGCCTATAATGGATGAACTTTCCATAGTTATTACAATATTCTGATTTAAAGCAATCGGCACCAGCAAAAATAATTCCTGAACCCTCCGTGTATAGCTCTCACTATTATCGCCTCTTCCTCATTGACTTGCACTTCTCCCAAATCCTGTTCGGACAGTTGGCTGGAACAGCCTCCATCATCTCGCTCGCCTGGACGGATGAAAGTGAATGATGTTAAAATGAAGTGAGAGTGGCCCCTGGGGGCCTGTGTGGCTCTGCCGTGAAGAAATCTAGCTCCAGCTCAACATTTCCTTGACATGTCCTCACCTGAGCAAGGCCTTGGGCGAAGGTTGGCCTCATCTACAACCCTGCGCTGCCTCCTTCTAATACCCCCCCCTTCTTTGCTGGAAAGAAACACAGTCACTGATATCAGCCTTTCAGTCCAGGCTAGAAAACCTGTCAAGCTGTGACACCATCAGCGTCATCCAGTCTCATCTATTCTTTGTTTTGAAGCTAATGGTAACTGTCAGCACTGTAACAGCAGTAAACAGCAAGAAAAAATGACACCAGGTATTGTTTTCAGGTGCCATGTGTAACATTTCAAAAACATCACATTGAGTTTTAGTCTTTGATTTCACTATACGACATTTTATATATTTTGGATTTTTTTTGTACATGTGGGGCTCTGTTGGTTAAGAATTTCCACTTTATTAGTAGCAAATTTCTCTATTACATTTAAAATAGGGCCATATGTTTGGTGTTTGGAGCAAAGACTGTATAAAAAAGATGGGCACGGCCCAGCTATTGGTTTTTGGACTCTTGAAGAATAATCAACACTAAAAAAAATAATAATAAGGACAGCGAGGTGGCACAGTGGTGAATTGAGGCCTCTCAGCAAGGTCTTGAGTTCGACTCCACCTTCTGCCGTGGCCTTTCTGTGTGGAGTTTGCATGTTCTCATGTTCTGTGTGGGTTCTGCGCCTTTCTCCCACAGTCCAAAGGCATGCATTTAGTGCGATTTGGTTAATTGGTGATTCTGATTGCCCATCGGTGCGAATGGTTGTCTGTCTCTATGTGATAGCCCAGTGACAGACTCATAACCTTTCCAGGGTGCCCCAAACATCCCCCACCCCTGCAACCCTGATAAGCAGAAGAGAATGGATGGAAAATAAAGTAAAAAACCATCCATTAGATTGCATTATGCTTGCTAATTAGTCATAACTAATAATAATAACAATAATAGAATTTCACTCACCTAAACCAAAAATCAAAGGAGACTGGCACAGTGAAGTGACTCACTGAAGTTAGGTTTGCAGATTGTCCCAAAAGGTTGATTCTGTTCATCTGGACGTAGTGTTTGATCGATGATTGAGCATGCATCAAGACGTCTTGCAGATAGCTGCCTGTACTGGCACCAACCTATGGCTACACCTTCAATCAGGCATATCTTTAATCAATTTCATACAGAAAGAGAGATGAATGTGTGTGCATTAGGGGAAGTTTTCTCCTTTTCGAAGAGATGTTCTGAATTATACAGACCAGGTCACCAAGACTGTGTCTCCTTGGCGAAAGGGGTGTCCTACCACAGCTGATTAAGTATGTAATGACAGCATTGATGGCTGGTTTAGTGATTTGCGCCAGACTCATTCTTACGTTTTCTCTCAAAGAGTCACAAACTTGGACATTGAAGATGTAGCCTGAACAGATGATGAACATTGTTGCGTGTCTGTGAAGGTTCTCAGTCATCCAGGTCATCGTAGTCTAAGCAGCGTCTGGATGTCTTTCCTTGAAGACCCCTTTTGCCTGTGAGAAGATGTTGGGAAAGCTTAGTTTTAAAAATGAGATGTTTAGAGAGCAATGGGTCATTTTCTGATTTCATATCCAATGACAAAATGAAAAATAGCGCGTACTGAATGTCTGGCAAATAAATATTACCCAGTACTGTGCAAACTGTCTCACATACCTCACTTACCATAATAAAAAAAGTCTTCAAACACTTAAAGGGCCAGCTTATATAAAAAAAACCCTCTGCCCTGTATGGCAGATAAAAATTTGAATATGAGGTACCGATGTCAAAATCTCAGTAAAGTTGAATGTTTTCATATTGTTTTATTTTTTCTCTAAGAAAAACCAAG